CACCAACAAGTAGAATCGTCTACTAATTAGTTAATAAGTAGTAGTATGTTCTTATATGTGTACAGTTCAATAGGACTAATAATATTGATATGAATAAGATCTCCAAATTGATTTGCAAGAGGAGATTGATGTAGTTTTGGTATTGGTGTATGTTTAATATTTGCTTTTATACATTCAATACATTCTTTTTCTTCATAGTTCATTATTTTAGTTGATAGTACACTTGGTTGTGTCTTTAATAATTGTTTAATATAATCGTAACTTATATGTCTGAGGCATTTATGTATATCATAAATAGATAGTTTGTTCATTGTTTTTAACAAATGATTATTGTACAAAATATACAAGTTATTTCTCAATTGTATATGTCCAATGTATTTGTTACATGGTGATGTTATAGTACAATTATCATTTGTAAACATAAAAGAATAACCTTCCCTACATAGTAGTGCTTGACTTATGAGGGAAAAGTTCATTTGTGGATAGTAATAGATGTTTTGTAATGTTATAATGCTTCTTTCTTGTATATTCTTCAGGATTTTGATACACATAGATCCAGCTCAATTAAGAGTCATTATTGATCTATTTGCAATAGTTATGATTGTAGGAGTTATGTTGTGTACATCCATTAATCAAAATAGATAAGGAGTAGTATGTATTGATGTACTAGAATTGAGTAAATCCATCATTTGTATATAGGATTTCTTGTTAGCTATGATTGTATTTGTAAATATGTTGGTACATACCCAGGAAGCATATTGTTCAAATTGTTTGTCCTGGTTGCTTGGAATAAGAGTGTAGGTGTTATTGTTCATTTCAACATTGCCTTCCTTTAATTCAACATTGTTTTTGTTTGGGTTTTCAATAATAAATGTGTTCATTGTGTTTTCTACAGTTTGATTTGTTTTATGCACAATGTTAGCTTGATGTTTGGTGTGTGCAAGCTTTGTAGCTTCAGTAGGAGGTTTACAGCATTCCTTAGAGAAATGTCCTGTTTTTCTACAATTGAAACATTTTGCTTTTGTTGGATTGAACAGATTTGGCAGATTGAATTTCCTCTGCTTATTAGCTTTATACATTGTATTAGTGTGTACATTATTCTTTGTCCAATCATTAGAATCTTGTGCTTGTTTAGCACAGTAATTGTTGTAGGCATTCTACAATGTAAGGATTAGTTGTTTTGGTTCAACTTTCTTATGTTCATCAACTGGTTTGCCTTTGTTTTAGGCATTAGTAGATTGTATTATTGTATTTACTATGTGTGTATATTGCTCAGGAGTGGCAAGCAATATTACTGCTTTGTATGTAGAGTCACATGGTGGATTACTGTTAGCAGACAGAGTTGTGTATGCTTCCTCAAGTCTGTCTAATGTATGTCTGAAATGTTTTACATGGTCTCTACAAATAAACAGTGCTAATTTGTCAATAGCCTTTTTATGTACTGTTTAGGGGTTAAAGCATTCTTCAAGCACTTTCATTAACTGAGGGATAGACGTATTAAAGTGTATATAGTTTGCTAATATTGTGTTAGTGATGTTATTGACTATGCATACATGAATGGCCTTAGCTATCTCCCTCTCAGCTTTGTTCTGTGGTTCATCCTTTAGTAAGTGTTTGAAGTATGTAGCTGCAACACTAGAAACAATACAGTAGTGCCACATCTTGTAATTCACTTCAGTCTTAAGTATTGTGATGTTTTGACTAAAGTATTTAGGTACATCAGTTAGTTTATAGTGTGTATCTGTATGTGGGGGAACCATGATACAAATGTGTGCAAATGTATGTGAGTAAAGAGTTTAGAGTGTACAGTGGATGTGTGTATGCAGGGAGCTTAAGGCTCATAACCTGTTGAGAGGGAAAACTTAAGGGGGGCATGTATAGACAAGGGGTGAGGTGATAATTGACTGCTCAGTGTCTCTTGTCCTTATATTGTATGTATTCTAACT